TTGTTATTGTTATTGTTATTGTTGTTGTATTATTGTTATTTATAATTTATACAAATAACCTTCCTGTGGTTCGACCCCGGTCTTGCCGGGTTATTTATTACTTCGACACTCCTGCACTTGGGAGAAGACATCAATCTTTTAGTCGTGTCACATCCCCAACAATATATTCATTGTAGAAATGAAAATCATGGCTTGCTAATAACCTGGCAAGTATATTGTTCAAATGTCTCTCCTAAAAAAACATATAAATAAACTAACCTTACGAACCCCTTAGGGTTTTTTTTTTCAAATTACTACCCTTTTCTATTCATATAAGATGAGGTATTCCTTCCCTCTTCAGGGATTTATAAGGGATGTGTTTAGCTATTACCAGCTAGGTCAGAGTCACCTACATCCCAATAAGTGGATAATCATGTTTGCTTTTAAAAGCTTTTATAGAATGCTTGGGCTCAGGCCTACTGTAAATGTCTTTAGGAGTTACTACTAATTGGTCACCAGCATCAATGATAGTAACGATACACGTTAGTTCTTCACCTTTGCTAATAGGAGCAACAATGTCATGAAGAATATGATGACCGAGAAACCCAACTCTACCAAGAACCTGGGAGGAAAACAGTTAATCATAAGATATATTGAAATTGTCGATCACCAGTAAGGATTGTAGCAAATCTAGGGCTGCTCTTTTTATTGAAAAACTTCTCCCCACGAGGTAAACATCAAGCCTCATTTGAGCTCTGACAAAGAGAAAAAATACACAATATTGGATTCAACCAAAACCAACGATGAAGTTTACAAAATGGTTAGGGGATATTACCAGGCTGTTTTACAAAGTATAAAGTCATCCTGTCATGTTGTTTTTTTTTTTTGGTTCAGAATCTAACAGTCTTTTATCTCTATAGGGTTGATAGTTGAAGGAGAAGGATAAGTTTCATAGATAAGGGTGAAGAAAGAAAGGAAAACTCTCTCTTCTTATTAGGGAATTCCTTGCTCTTATAAGCTTTATCTCTAAAAAGACACCATCGAAGGGCATAACCCATGTGGAAGATGGGGGTCATGATCTTCTCTTATCCTAAGAAGAAAAAATCCTAACCCTCTTTGTAATGATCGTGAGCGCTATCACTCACTTCAAGAGGAGAAGAGTTTATACTTCATTGACCAACCATCCCCAAGCCCTGCAGATAGAGGCACCTACTGCGATCTTTCCTTTACCTTAACTTCCTACCTTATCATCCAGGAAAAGGGCTTTGATTATAACTTAAAAATGCATTTTTATCAAGGTTTTATATTATCATTTTGCACTTAAAGTATCAATAACTCCTTAACTAAAGCATAACATATCTAATAATATAAGATACCTTTAATTTATGGTAAATGTTCATTTTAAATGCAGGTCTATCACATAAATGAAAGGATTGATTGATGAGTTTAAGAACTGAAATTGAAAGGACAAAGAGATGGTCAAACTTAGAAAAGAAATGTTGGTGCAGTCCAAATTGGAACACTGTTAGGTAATTGGGTCATATCTGAAGCTGTAGATCTCGGATTTAGGTCTACATTATATGGATGGAAAGGTAAGATATAGGCCTACAACTTTCATGTGGAGCCTAAAATTTATAAAGGTAATTTTCAAGCTTAAATTGTACCAACAACAAAGAAGTATTAATCTATCCTATAGCCCAAATACTGTTCAGTGATTGGCCTATATTTAGATTTTCAAAAGTCCAAATGACCTCAACCACCAACAACAAAGAAGTATGAATCTATCCTATAGCCCAAATATTGTTCAGTGATTGGCCTATATTTAAATTTCCAAAAGTCCAAATGACCTCAACCCTTTGATACTAACATGTTTTGTATTTGTTATCTTGTTCACTCTTTAATACTTTGCTTGTTAAATGACTAATCTAGATTTATATTATATAACACTTATTACAACAAATACTTGGCACTTTCATAGCTCATATTGTATGATATAACCGACACATGTGCTATAAAAGAAACTTGATTTATTGTTAACATAAATTATAATCATGAATGTCTGACAACATTTACAAGTATTAGCATTAATCGAATAAGATAACTAATATAATCATATTAACAATCTATAATCTGATTGAAACCTTCTTTGTGTGTGGTTTCCAATTAAATAACAAGAATTTATACTATACTTGTTTGATATACCATTAGTAGATCCTCTAACCTTGACATTCATTATTATCATTGTTTAATCATTACGTTAATCTTTCATCTCAAATTTCTCATCAATTTTTTCTTCTTCTTTTTTTTTATTATTATTAATATTATTATTACTATTAGTAACTACTACTACTACTACTACTACTACTATTGTTATCATTGTTGCTATTGTTGTTGTTATTGTTGTTGTTGTATTATTATTATCTATAATTTATACAATTAACTTCCCTATAGTTCGATCCCAGTCTTGGCAGGTTATTTATTACTTCGACACTCTTGCACTTAGAAAAAGACATCAATCTTTTGATCGTGTCACTAACCAATATGATTGGTAACTTATACTTGGTGCTTGCTAATCCAAGGTGTCTTTTGGCTAGTACCTGTTTTGGTGGAGGTGAAGACTCTCTAACGGTAACATTAATAACTTTGTAAAGAGAGTAAGACTTTAAAAATATATATGCTAAAAATATTGAGAATGAAGAGATTGTGAACATTTGTTTATAAGATCTCATGGTGTATTTATAGTTCATGAGTCTTGTCTTTTGGAAATAGAAAGGTTTGGAGTGTAATTTTATCCTTGTGATATTTTGAGTTGTACTTTATTCAAAACAATACGTATTGGAATATAAAATATTAAGGGACTCGCATGGGATTTAGAAAAAAATCATTAGCGAATGTTGGGCTTAGTAAAGGTGTTCGAGCCTATGAGAGGTGAAAGTGGGTCCAAGTGCGCAACCTGGACCCAAAAACATTGGGTTGAAGTGTGACAACCCTAGCCTACGAGGGGTGAAATTGGGTCCAGGTGCGCTGCTTGGACCCAAACGCGTTAGGATCGGGTTGACAACCTGAGCCCACAAGGAGTGAAAGTGGGTCTAAGTGCACTGTTTTAGAGGCAAGAAATGGGTTTAGGCAAATTGTCTAGGCTCGAATATGTTGAGCTTAGGGAGCACTCCTGAGCCCGAGCATGTTGGGCTCGGGCGTAGACACCAGAGTCCATAGGGGGGATACGGTACATGATCACGCTGGGCATATACCCTACATGGGCTCGGGCTTCTTGCCTGAGCCTATTCCTTTTAGAGAGTTGGGCTCTGGCAGTAGCCCGAGCCCACTCTCCTTAGACCCCGTACTATACTTTGGGCTCGGGATATTAAGCCTAAGCTTAAGAAGTATTTTTGTTAGGTTTATTTTGAAGGAATTTTTGAAATTTATTTTAGAGAATTTTTTTTAGTCCATTTTATTTGTATCTATCATTAACAAATTCTTAGCATAATTTGTTCTTTAAATTGTTAATATTCTACTCTCACAGAATTTTAATAGAAGTGCATGTACACCAAAACTTTGCTGGAAAAAAAATGGAGGCACCTCCGTAAAATTGTGTTTGAAAGTTGAACAAAATGCTCTTGTTGAGTAACTTGCCAAAGTGAGCTTATGCAGGCCTATATAGGGACTGGACCCATGTAACGAAGTGGCATCTGTTCTCCTTGGGTTATTAAAAACCTAATTGTGTTCACTATCTCAAGCTCATTGTTGTCATATTTTTAAGTCACAAAGTTATCCGGTTAACCTTAGTAAACCGTTTTGGAAAGACAACCATACTCAAAACATTTGTAGTATAAGAGTCTAATCAATCACCCATAATCAAAGCTCTTATAATTTGGAAAGACACCCAGTAATATGAAATTGAAGAAGAATCATCACAAGAGTGGGGATTCTGCATGATCGAACAAAAAATCAGCAAACTTAGTTAGGTAATATTAAAATTAAAATGGTAAGCTTTGAAATGATTTAATTGGCTGTAAATTCAAATTTCTACCCAAAACACTCGTCTATGTGACAGATCTGCTTAGGATCACTAAAGCAAATGACATATTTTTCCATTTAAAACAAAAATACATTCACAATATTATATGAAATTATAAATTTCTTCAAGTGCCACTAAAAACAGCACTTAATGACGCCTTAATCATGTTACCAAATAACTGTTGATTTCAAAAATTAAATCATTTCCTTGTTAACTGATCAGCATAAAAATTCGATGATCCCTACTCTCTCTATATATAACCACAAACCCTAGTATCCTAACGTCTCACACAAGCTACAGCTAAAGTACACTTTCTATTTGCTTCTAGACTGAAAAATGGCCTTGATCATCTTCCTAGCGTTCGCTCTTCTCCTTCATGGAGCTCTCGGTAAATCCATCCTTCACCTTTCTCGTTTTATATATAAACTTTATTTTCTTTTTCTGATGTCCGTTAGACCCCGGGATTTGAACAAATTAGTGAGATATATAGATCCTTAAATATAGCAATGTTGTATACTAGTACTAAATTCTTTCTTATTTATTAGGTGAGCTTATATGTGAGCAGTTGCCGGTGGATCTTTGCGCATACTCAATTGCAACCTCTGGTCAGAGATGCTTGTTAGAGAATTATGAAGAAAATGATGGAACTGTTAAGTACCAATGCAAGACAACAGAGATTTTTGTAGATATCTTGAATGAATGGATTGAGAGCGATGAATGTGTCAGTTCATGTGGCCTCCATAGAGAAACTGTTGGTGTTTCATCGGACACTCTCCTTCAGCCTCAGTTTTTGGCTAAGCTTTGCTCAGATGAATGCTATCAAGCTTGCCCTAACATTGTTGATCTATACTCCAATATGGCCTTGGGAGAAGGTACCCATTTACACTTCTTTATCTGCCACCAATGAATCGAATAGCCATATTTCTTTATAATTTCTCACATGCAGTTCTTAACATTTTTCATACAATAAAACAATGTCTCCAGGAACATATCTGCCAACATTGTGCGCCAATCCTTGCCTTGCCAAACACCAGGCTAGAAGTAATGGTGACGCAGCCCCTGCCCCTGCCTCCAGTACTGTAGCCCAAGCACCTTAAGCAGCCATTTTCGGGCGGTGCTGATGTTGCCTGTGGTCTATCTTTTATTTGATTCTGTATTGAATTTGCTTGGAGCATTTCACTCTTCAGTACACACATCTTATTCGAGTTGTTTGTTGAAGCTATGCAATGGAAAACATATTTGCGCTAGTCTTTTTAATGATTTGGGCATGATTGTAAACCTTCAACTGCTCTCATTATTTCATCAGTTTATAAAAAACAATAAATTCCTTGGTGGTTGGCCATACATCTGAACCCGTGAATTTTTTCATCATTCAATTTTTTTTCTTTTACACTGTGAAGAGTTGAATCCATTTTTGTGAACAACTAGAAATGTCATATTTGAAGAGTGGCCTCAGGGATGTGGTTTATAATAAGTGGCTGACATAACATACTAATTTATGACATCGATCATTCTTGTCGCAATGAAATCCTGTCCAAGATTAATGAAAGCTTTTTACTTCCAACTGACTTAGAATATCAATATCCTGAACATGATTTGTTACTGACAAAAAAGATATCATATATACAGTCAGGCCAAATAGATAAATTATGTGCGAATGGGAAATGAAATGGAGACTAAATATACGTTGGAGACATTCATGAACTAAAACTTTTAGTTATTAAACCTGCAACTCAGAACTTCATTCGGGCTGGGTTTCAATTTGAATGTGAAAAGACATTGACTCGGTTACTGGGTTGATTTCACTAAACTCGATCTAAACCTGACTGGGTAAACAAGAAGAATTACAAAAAGAAAAGAAAAACGGACTATAATCATAAACTTGTGACAGAAATGATTTTTATTGATATTTGATAGAATGAGATCAATGCCTGTTGGTTGAGCAGAGCTGGGAGCTCCGTTTTTTATTTTATTCTCTATTAGTTTTCCAATACCTTTGAGAATATATTCTAGTGCAAATAACAAGTCATGACAAAAGGAGAGACATTTGAGGTTTCCGATAACAAAGGATAGATCTGCACCTCCTTGAAAGGTTACAGCTGCAATCAGGGCAGCGACCGGTAGAAGGGTATTTCGTGCATCGCTTGGAGCATCTCTACCAATCTTAAACCGAAAGTATTCGTTAAAATTCTTTGATGAATTCTATTGTATGGGAGGCTGATCAGTAGCCATTTTGTGTAACTGTGTAATATACTTGAAGAATAAACAATCTTGCCCCGTCAACTAAACAGAGTGGAAACTGTCCTTCATCTTGAAATGAAGGCCATTGCATCCGTGGCCACAAAACATGCAGCAGCTCAAAACAAGAAGATGAAGAGAATGGAAGAAATCTCTCTCTCTCTCTCTCTCTCTCTGTGTTCTGTGGTGGCATAGTCGACCAACCGCAGCATGTGCTGAACAGAAAGAGGAACGATAACTGGTTCAGGTGCCGAGAAATAAATCGATTGAGGACCTGAATCATCCTCGCACATGAACAAGCGGTAAGGCAACGGGTTTTGGTTCCGTCATTCAGAGTTTCGAATCCTTCGTATATTTATTTTCTATATTAAGATAAAGATTGTTTTTTTGAATAATAAAAGTAAGACGGGTTTTTCATTATATCTTTATTCTTGAACTGGTTTAGGGTTAAAAAAAAAAAAAAAAACAATTCATCTGAACCTCTTTAGCTTTGTATCTATAAAAAAAGAGTCTGACTTCCAATAAGATGGAATCGTTTTTTATTTGAATTTGATTTCTTATTTATTATCTTACATCCCATGATTATTTTCAATATCTGTTTGAATTTCATTAACAAACAAAGAAAATACATATGTTATGCATTTCTTTTTTAACCTATTCATTTATTTTATTTAAAATCATTAATAATTTAATCTGAATTTAAATATGGGATTTATCCCATACTATGAAGCATAAAAAGTTATTAAAATAATGATATCTAGATAAGCTATTTTTTAATTAAATTCTTTTAATTTAATGATTGTTTTATAAGTTCTTGGTATTTAAAGAATTGTAGAATTCACGCCTTGGTACTATCAAGTCACTTGAAGATGAAGATTTGAAGAGAACTATTTTTTTCTTTGTCTTATCTTATTGGTTTGGTAATATTTGTATTTGAAATCAAAAAATAGTTATATGATTCAATAAAATATCAATAAAATATGAGGTTAATTTGAATTAAATCTTTTATGTTTTTTCATTGTGTATTCTTTTATTAAACTTTATCTATATTTTATTTAAATTTAACTTAGTCTATTTTTTTATCTGAATCACTAACTAATAAGATTGATAAAGTAACAATTAATACAAAAAACAGTCAATTAAAAAGTAATAGTCATGTTTTTAATCCTTTAAGCTACCAACAAAAAAATTATATCATTTGATCCCTTTATCAGGAAAAAAAACACATTATGAAGGGATTATACCATGAATCCATTGATTCTATAAGACTTATTTCCACCTCTTTTTTATTTTATTCAAATATAGAGTTGAGAGTTCTTTTTTATTTGGGCTATCAAGATCAGGAAAAATCTTACAATTTATTAGCTCAATGTATGAAAGCCCCTTCAATTTTGTATTTTTTTTAGCTTAGATAAATTCAAAATATTCTTTTCCTTAAATTTTTTTATTAATTTTTAAATTATTTATAAATGCATGTAAGATAAGTAGATCGTCATCAGGCATTGTCCTTAGATATTGATGAGTGAGTAAATTATTTAATACATGATATTATTATATTTAAAATATTTCTATGATATTATATTTTTCTTATGATTTTATTGTATATTAATTATTTTTATTATCCATTAATCAACATAGTATAAATGAATAACAGTTGAGCCTTGTCCTACATAGAAGTGATTAATATGTGACTTGTTATTTTGAAAATTATAAATATAAATATTTATAAAAAATTATCATTATATTTTTAATTATATATAAGTACTCAATTGTTATTTGAATTTGAATTTGAATTTGTTATGTTCATGTTGATGTGCACGTGGATTTATTCTTGTGATTTTTTTTTTTGTTATCCTTCTTTGTTGTTGCATATAAACCCCGGGTTAATATTTAAAAAAAAATATCAAAATAGAATACATTTTAAAACAATGTTAGTAGTGTTGGACAGTTGAAATTAAAAATAAAAATAAGGACAATTTTTCAATTTTGATGGAGTTTTTAAATGGAAAAAAATAATAATTAAAAAAGAGTTAAAATCAATAAAATTACAAATTCAAAGACACAATTATGTTTTTAGAAGGGTTTATGCAAATTTTAAAGGCATGGGAGAGAACAAAAAAAAAGAAAATTTTTTTACCACAAGCCAACTAGACCTTCTATATAAAAATACATCACACCACTAGAAAGAGAATAACTCGCTACTCTTAATGCTATCATGGATGGAGTATTTTGATAATGAAATAGCTTTGTATGCACAACTTAAAAGGTGCAGAGGCAAGTCATGTGTTGACACGTAAAATGCACGTATCAACAACTTTTTTAATAATATTTAATTATTTAAAATTACTAAATAGCCTTAACCAAATTTAAAAATAACAAAAAATAAAACACAATAAAAAAATTAAAACACTCTTGAAATCAGCCTTAAATTTTTTAGATTCTAAAGGTAATTCTCTCATTTAATTATTGCAAAAGAATTGCAATAATGATATATTTTAGTTTTTTTTTCTAATGTTTACTGAAAAAACAGTAAAAAGTATTGGTATTGCAAATTGGATAATAAAATGATAAAACATTGGTGTAAAAAATAATGTAATTCTCAAAAGTATTCGGGTGGGTGCTTAAATGTCATGTCAAAAACATAGCCACTTCTTCTCCCAGCTACGGATGGGATCGGAATCAAAAGAGATCAAAGCCAAAAGAAAAGGAGAAAGAAGTGGCCTCCATTGGAAGCATTTTGACAAATTATTCCATCGTAATAGAACGAGTCACGGGAAGTTTCTCCATTGGCTGCAACCATGGATGGACTTTAAGTGTAGTAAAAAAAAAACACAAATCTCCTACGTCTGGTATGGACCGTTGATACCATGGTTTAAAATACTAAATACCCTGTATATTTGGACATCCCTTCTTCGTACATTCAACACTCTCATTGCCAGTCTTGCTCGGTGAGTAGCCCTGATAACTGCCTTCACAGTTTCTCCCCATACCATCACAAATCAATTTAGTAAAAAAAATTAAAAAATTCAAAATTAAAATTAACATAAAAATATATATAATTAGAAAAATAATTATTTTTCTAAAAAACCAAGAAAAAATTAAAAATAAAAATAATAACGATCAAATTAAAAAATAAATGCATCTTTACAATGACAACAATTGTGCAATTGACCTTTCTTCCTCTTCTTTCCTTCAACTTACTATTCCTATGAAAGGGTTAATTATGTCAAACGCGATTCTACTGTTGGGTTTTGATTGGTCAGATCCCTTTACTAGTGGAGTCCCTTTACTATATTTGTTTTATTACCATTGAAAGTCCCTTAATTTAAGTGATAAGTTAATTCTATGGCGTGTCATATTGTGAGCACAACACATGTCCAAGAAATTTCAGAAAGGAAAATAATTAAAATTTTGAAAAAACAAATATACATTAAGTTTAAAAGGTGTTAAAACTTTTTATCAAATTTTTTTTTATTAATTTATTTCTAGAAATTATCTTCAAATTTCTTTATTTACATTGGAATTATTTTTATTTACTTTAAAAGACCAAAAATATTTAAAAAATATTTAAATATTTATTGTTATTTTTTATTAATTATGCTAATTTTTTATGTTTTATTATTTTTTATTTTTCTGAGTTTTTATTTTATTTTAAAAATAAAAAAATTTAGGAAAGTAATAAATTATAAGTAAAATTATAAAACCATACATATAAAATTAAACTTTCATAAAAAATTGAATTAGAAAATCATGTCTTTGAAAAATACACAAATTGAATTCAAACATTTTTAAGCATCAATAAATCAATAATGTTATTCTTCATTGAAGAAGGAAAAAAATAAATATTTTTTTTCAAAAT